CCTCGCAAGAACATATATCTAGGGTGAGAACGTACCTCGGCCACTTGGAGATTTTAGGCCTGAAATCTCCTTACATTGAGAAATTTACTGAATTTGATATGCTTTAGAAAGCGCAAGAAATGCACTTTCTAAAGATACTAACAATATCGCATTAGAGATGAAATTCTTTTAGAACAGCTGCTTCAAACATAAGGCAAAGAAATCGGACAGAACTTATGCAGCAACCTAATATAAAGCTGAATGTCTGTTTGTCTGTTTGTCTGTCTGTCTGTCTGTATGTCTGTCTGTATGTCTGTCTGTACGTATGTTCCGAATAGAAAATTCCATTTCTGAGCCGATCCGGACCAAACTCGGCACACATACACTTCGGGCCCCGGCGGGTGTCATAGGCTACTTTTCGTCATCGATTGATATCGATTTTATCGATTTAATCGATTTTTTTGCAAAGTTTGACCTACGGGGCTGCGAGTTGGCACAGGGAGGTAATCGAGCATGCTGATCACCCACGCGGGGGTGATCAGCATGCTCGATTACCTAGCTCAAATTTTGCAAAAAATCGATAAAATCGATATCGATTGATGACGAAAAGTGGCCTATGACACCCGCCGGGGCCCGTAGTGTATGTGTGCCAAGTTTGGTCCGGATCGGTTAAGAAATGGAATTTTCTAATCGGAACATACGACGGAGCCGGGTAAGCCAGCTAGTGATATATAATGTTGCAGGATTTCCTAGAGATCCCGCGGAGATCTAAGATCGGAGCCAAATGCCCCGTCGGCTCTGGTCTTCTCCGCTGCTCGTCTGCGTCTCCGCGCGTTGTGCGCTACCTCGCTACCCCAAACGCGGGCGCGAGGCATTTGGCTCTGATACCCTTTTCTTCGCTGTATCGAACCCAAATTCAAAGCTGTATACCATTTTGAAGCTCTTGATCTCTATTTTCACGCTGACAACATCCCAGAACCATATTTTTTGATTTGATCGATAAATCCGGCAAAAACCTTGTTTTCAGAAATCTCTTGTTTTTCTCCTAATTTAACTATTTTCACGCGGTTTTTTCGTGCATTCTATAGATCTTGCTTCTGTTCATAATGCAGACAACCACCCACCCCTTACCTCTTCGATTATGGTGGAATTTTTTGCGAAAAATCGTAAAAGGTGCGTTTTTCTTTACCTTGTTCTGTTTCAGTGCTTTCGCATCGATGTTTTTCCAGCTTGGGCGATTATTGCTCAGAACAATAAGCGCAACAATCCACACAACGTCCCAGAAAACAGGAACGTCAATGAAAAGGTATAGATTGAAAGGACGCATCAAAAATCAAAACGCCGTGCGGATTGCTGGTCCTGGAGCAAAAACTTACGCTTCTAAAAGCCGCCCAATAAAAAATTTTAGACCTCTGCAGCGTTTTTATTCCGGGTTTTCAGCAATTTCTTTTGCTTTTTATATCTGTTTTACGTCATATTCTCTTCTCTGATCTTCTTTGAACAACCTTCACTATTTATGACGTCAGATTTTTAAACAACCCTCACTTTTCACGCCCTCTCTCTAAACTATCGAAGGTATGCGAGACTGTGCTTTGCAAAAATGCTTTGCAAAATCAAAAGATATCAATAACCCGATTTTTCAGACATAAGAAGTGCTGTTTGGGCGGGTCGCGAAAGTGGCTGCTGGAGCCAATAATCCAGTTGCCGCCGAGATGGGTACGGTGTCTCCACTCACGAGCCAATCGCGCTCTAGAGAGCAGGCATACGCCGCCCGCCCAAATAGCACTTTTCATATGTGGAAAGCCGGGTTAGTGATATCTTTCAAAGGTGCAAAGCGTCTTGTACTTAGCTCATCCAGAGGAACAGCGAACAGTGAATATCCCAAAGTTGTCATTCTGCCGACAGCTGCCTTTAAGAACCAAGCATAACTATGGGGTAAGCAAGTCGATTGAGTGTGGTCTGTCAACTTGCTGAGTGGTGCTGCAATTCAGAAAAAGTGTGAGTTGCAGTTGAGCCAAAACAAGAGAATACCCTCAACCAAAGCCAACTGTTTACTGAATGATTTCCTGTTAAATGTGCTTCCTTTTAATCCTATGTCATTTCTGAACGAAGCCAACTTTGTCCCAGGTCGGACATCGCGTCTTTCAATGAGTTTCCATCTATGTTCTGCAACCACATACTTTCTGAACGTGCGCAAACACCTACTTTTGGAGGCGAAGTTGAGAAATTTTGGCATTTTCCAAGACTTGACTAAGACATATATGAACTTTCAGTGGTTTAAAGACAAACATGAAGCCTTCAGCTGTACTTAAAGGAAATAAAAATGAAGAGAAAAATCATGGTAAAGACTAGATGCACTTGAAGAAGCGATAAGGTATTTTTACACTGTCAATGACGCAGAAGATTTCGTTCTGGCAATGTTACAGCAAATAACGGAGTGTGGAAAGACGAAGGTGAGATGTAGAAAATTACCCGTCTAGTAAAGGAGAAAATAAATAATCAAGGTTATTATAAATTCCAACAACCAGAGAAGACTTCTCAAATGGTTTCTCCGCAAGTAGATCCCATGGGTGCCCAGTATACTTAGGGAAACACAAAATTTTTCTCGAATATCCGAATATCGAATAATATTCGAAAATCGAAAACTTCGGATGTTCGACTATCAAATATTATCGAAAATGGAGAATTTCAAATCGAACGATATTCGAATATCGAATATCATTCGTTATTTGAAATTCGAATATTACTCGATTCTTGAATATTGATCGCCTCGAATACCACTCGATTTTCGAATACTGTTCAAATATTTTATGCCAGTGAGAACACCTTTGAGAGACCAAAACATCTCACAAGGGAAGCTAACTTAGCTCAACCTTTTGGTAAGGAACATATATATTCTGAATCAGCTTCAAACACTGGTTCTAAGTATGCTATTTCTAGCTGCGCGCACCATTCCAAAGCGAGTGGGCTCCTTGCTGCTTTTTCCTTTCAAAATTGGCATGTTACTTGACATGGGAAGACTGCTTGTAGATAAAAACCTGCAAGAAAGTGCTGAGATATCGAAATAACACAAATCCAAATTTTTCTCACTAAAAAAGAAGCTTAATGCAAGTGTATTAGCAGTTAGATGATGATGCCCGTGTAAATGGACTAGATGAATATGCCAGTTTTGCGCAGGAAAAAGCTCAGAATTCGCTTTGGAATGGTGCGCTGCAGCTAGAAATAGCAGACCTGGAATCAGTGTTTATAGCTGATGCAGATTATATATATGTACCTTGCCAAAAGGCCGGGCTAAGTTACGTAGCTTTTCTTATAAGAATAAATTGTTTCTGTAAGTATCAAGGGTAGACACTTTTTATGTTACATTTTACGATGAAAAAACGGTTTAATAGTGACGTGAAGAGACTTAAGAACCTAAAAGCGTACTACTGTGATGGTCGTGAAGAGATTTTCTGAGCTTAAGAAGATTATATATTTTCATTGAGAGTTGTGGATTGATATACAAGAATCCCAACGGTATGTAGATCTGTGGGCTGACGTCAACATGACTTTTAGTATGGAGCCATTTATCGAGTTTTCAGTGTTGTGAAATTTTTTCACTGTCGGAAAATTGAACAGTGTATTGAGACATCAAGTGCCGTTTGCCCAAAAAAGGCAATCAAAAAGGCCGAAAATCTAACATTTGACTTCTAAAGACACTAACTAGGAATTTGCACTCTACCGTAATGTTTTTTTCACAATTTAAGCCAGGTAACCGTAACAAATGTTTTTCAACGCTTTCAAAAATGTGATTGCACATCTGAAAACTGGTGCGTAGTAAAATCAGCATTCGCAAAAACTCTGTTACGGAGATTTCAGATCTTCCTCTGAGGAATTTCTTTCGGATGTCTTATTTCGCAGTTTCTCTATATGCTGGAAGTTCCTACCGTGATACACAATACGAAAAACATGTCTGCTGTATTTTTAAGCTAAAGCCATCCTTACAGGACGTTATACAAAGGTTGAAGATTTCGTGAGAGGTATGAGCGATCAGACAGCGTGTAGATACTCTTAAGACACCGTTGTGGATACCGAATTTCTGTTGAATAGTCAGTTCTTATCGAATTTTCGAATATCAGTGCTCATAGAATATTCGAATATTCGGGGGAAATCGAATGATCGAATCAATGACGATCGAATATTCGGCTATCGAATTATATTTGAAAATTGAGATTTTCGAATATTTGACTTTCGCATAATATTCGAAAATGAAAATTTTCGAACATTCGAATTTTCGAAATTCGCAACCAAATGATTTATTCGAGTAATCGAATAATCATTCGATTAGGTCCAAAGTATAGTGGCCAGCTTACTATTTGAACCACAGCAGATATCCGATAAAGCAGTCATTTCGAAATCTCAAGGAAGTATCAAAAGCTTTGTAAAAGTAGAAGCGAAATCGCCAGATATCCGGTTGAAGGAGGGTAATCTAGAAAAACAAAGCAAGACTTCAAGCGATGGCATTGATGATTGATGTAGCACAATAAGATCGTCTCCATTCAGGCATTTTTGCAGGTCATGTCGCTTACGGCTACCAAGGAAATACAACTGCAAGAACGTATAAAATTCAGACATGCTAGCTTAGCATCAAATAAAGAAGATGAGCACTGAGAATTCGGAGCTCCATTTTGTATTGCAACATTTTCAACGACTCTCAACCATCTGCCTCCTGCCGTCGTCATGTCCGCTCATACTTCCATGATCTCAATACAGTCAAAGCGAGAGTTGCTCTCCAACGTCCACTGCTCTATCCAGACAAAAAGAAAAAATCACGAAATGGATCAGATTATTTGGTGCTTCTATCGTGTGCTGTCCCTCCTTTCATGTTTTGTCTGGCAGATTGCCGGTATCCCTTCCATCTCCTTCAGTAGAGCATGGCTTTCTTTCTTGCGTCTGACCCACTTAACTTCCCTTGAGAGTTCGCACACTGCATGTTCTCGTAACAGCAGTGATTCGATCTCAAACCCTCTTTCCTAAGGAAGTTATGGCTCTTGCATGTTGATACCTACCTCTTCGAGCAATTCTGCTGATAAGCGGTCCTCACCATCATTCCAATTACGAGTAACCTCAGTGAAAACTAAGCTGAGATCGTCATCATTGCTAAATAAATTATCACTGATGGTTAAAGTAAGAACATGACTCTAGACACGGCAAGTGACGGGGCACGTACTCATAGGGACTTTCCACGAGTGTTGTGCCCTGTTCGATTGTCAAACATTCGTTTTCTTCTGTTTCATAATCACATTCAACATAGATCTTGGCCTTCTGCTCCAAGTCTTCTGAGTACTATAATAATACTATAATAATATGGTTTGCAATAATTACCAAAAAGTTTCTATATCAAGGCTTGCAATGGCCCTCCTACTTCACAGACCTGCTACTCCTCGGAACCATATCTTAGTGTTTGGTAGGTTCTGAACGTAAGCTAACCTGATGTTCACCACCTTTCTTGCTTTTGTCAGCAAAGTAAAGCCGCAATCTTTGCTGCACATCAGCATCCTCACTGACTCCTCTCCCACTGGAACAAGCCACGATTGACAAACACTGCAACTGCTCCTTCAAGGGATAAAATTCAGAAATAGCTTAAAGTGAAGCTTACTGCAAGGATGGCGCAGCTTTTGAGCATTTTCTTGTAATCCTCTCCGTAATAGGCATGCTTTTATATCAGGAGTAAACAATTCATTTAATTGTCAAGACTGTGCTACATTACAATTTGCCAAATTTTCCCATCGCACTTGTTGACATCCATTCTTTGGCATTCAATCTAGGATATCCACGTGTGGTACTTTTGTTGCTGGATCGTCATTTTCCAAATAAACCCGCTTACGAACTGAAATAATTGCGGCGTGGAGTACTTGTGTCAATAGCGAAGTCAGCACACACCATTGTTATAGGAGAGGCGAACTAATCAGTGAAGCTTGGCAATTTTGTTTGCATTCTTGCCAATTTAATACAAGAATCCGATTTTTGGTGAAAAGCACGGAAAGTGTAATTACGCCGATCCTGATTCGGAACTGACAATTTAGCAGCTTGCACCTATCAGGTGCATCTCCACGGAAGAAAAAATCAGTCAAAGATGAAGAAAGTTAATCTTCGAAAACATTGCTGATAAGAGCCGCTTTGAACCATGCCCGCAGAATCTTTTCATTGCGGTGAGTGTACAATCAATTCCACACCTTTTTAATAGAAAAAAAGATAGGACCGATTCCGATAATGGAAAATCTTGGGCACAGTACGCCATATAAGCATTTTAACACACATTGGGTGCATCAATGTTCCAAACCTTGTCTCAGCTGAAACTAATAAATGTGCTGGAGAATTATGTGTACTCTATTTAATGATGTGCATGACAGAGTTTGGCAATTCGATCAAAATTTAAGAAGGGGTTAGTGCGATTAAGCGTCTCATATCCTAATCTGCAAATTTCGTGCTCCCTGAAACACAATACTCTAGCTTTACGTATACTCTGAGACTTTGTAGCTCATCAAATCTTTGTACGATCATAAAATTCATTTATCCAATTATCTATGTGTATTATGTATGTGAAGCCATACTATCAAGATGGTGCCAAGGTAGTGCGCGTTTTTTTAGCCCTAATTTCAGGACAACTTTCCTCCATTAAACTTTTTTTTTGAAAAAACTCAGCGCACTGTTAAAAATCTCTTTTCATGCACTATCCGATGGTTGAAACAAGCTTCTAGCCCCTTTCGTTGATAATTTGCAGAGCTTCACACAACCGCACTCGAAATCAGAATTTCATTGCAATTAATTTTTTGGCCAGAATTCAAGCACGAATAAAAGCATCCTTTTGAAAATTTGGCTACTGTATGTAATAGAAGTTGTCTACATTATGCACAATTTACTATTTTCTCGGAAATTACCTAGACTGAGATTTCGGCGCCTCAATATGAATAGTGGTTTTGGTCATTCCGTGGCCCAAAAATTGAGGGCAATCGCCAAAACTTTGCTCATTTCTGCAGGCGTAAAAGTGTGCCTCATGTTCACAGTTGCAGAAATCTTTAGCCGTTCAGTAGGCAAAAATAAAAAATCCCCATATTTTGGGATTTAGAGGCCACGGAAAAATGTCAAAAAAGCGGACAATTTTGCATATTCGTTTTTTCCTACCGCAAATCGTCTTTGTGTGAGGCCCTTTCATCTTTTTTGTAGTACTGACTTGCGGCTACAAGGCGGTCTACTTATCATTTATAATAACAAAATTTGAAGGGAATTATGAACAGTCAAAACGGGGTTTCAGAAATAAACTTTTCTTGCTTATCAATCCATCAATCCATATTTCTGTACCCGTTGATATGAGCATACTTGGATGTGCGCCATATTGAGAAAGGTTTGATGCCTTTGGTGGTCCTTACCGCACTGAAAAATGTGGTTTTTTTTAAAGAAAATTATACCACGTCAAATTAAGAAATTGCAAAACCGCATTACTTTTGCACCGACCTAATACTATTTAGACTACCAAATATTAGCTTGATCCATAATTAATGCATTTTTCAAATACGTGACTCCGACCTGATTCTTCTACGGATTTTAGGAACTTCTAATCTGACAAAGCTTATTTTACTTTCAGATGTGGTAAGATCGTCCAACTTTAGCGATAGTCAAGTGAGCAATAGTGCCAGGCTCGGTTTACAGGAATATTGCTTGCTACGGTGTGTAAAACTCGACAATTTCTCTATCACAGAACCACTAGGTCCATTTCCTGTACAAGGTGAATTTTGCTTTGGGTTTCTATACAGCATAGAAGAGCCACAGGAATTATCTAAGTTTGTGTTGTAGTCCATTATTGCCTCAAATTTCTTCTTGACTTGGAAAGCTTTAGTAGAATAAAACTTTGCTATCTTCTATGCTATAAGTTTCCTTGGTGATAGATATTTTTATTAGGGTGATCGGAAAGTAACGAGACACTTTGATTTTTTTAACGATTTCGAAGGCTTTCTTTGTAATTAGCTATAAACGATCAACAATGTAAACATCTTTGTATAAAGTGACCTCCGCATGCTATACTGACAGCATCTTGCAGCTCCTCTCCCACAATCCTGCGCCTCGGGGAAATCAGATATATTTTTAACGCCATCCAAATTTGTGCTGCTGTACCACGAAGTCCCTAGACATCCGACACAGCACTCGAACAGGCTTTCTGAGCTCTTTCTAATGACTATTGAATTTGCAGCAATCCTTTATCATTTTGAATACAAAAGGCAGATTATTTGAAAAAGTACGGTATTTGGCGCAGAATTCACTTTTCGTTCCACAATTTATTTGCATACGTATGAATAGAGCGTCAAAACCTCTATCAGATGCTGATTGTCAAACGTGGGCTCAGCCTTCTACCTCGATGAGAGAATAAATATTATGTCTTCTGATACTTAATGCTTTATCTTTTGTTGAAAAGCATTAGGGCCACCGGGCTATCGTGGATTTGTGACAATTCTCTTGCTCAATGCGCTGCGGATATTTTTGTTAGCCTCACTTGTTTTACTACGGCGGTGCTGCTCAAAATTCGAAAGTACTTCAGGTGACTAGATTTGATTTTAGGCATTCATGAAAAATAACGCCGTGCGATAATGCCCATCTATACAGCTCAATGAGAAGGTTTTGTCTTGTACTCACATTGGCTAAAACATGGGCATCCAATTAATTTTTTTGTTTGAGAAAAGCATTTATTGTTCAAGTGTCCCATTACTTTCCGATCATCCTAATATTACTAAGCAGACCGGGAGCAAACTTCACACACATACACTTCCGCGAAGCGGGTGTCGTAAGCTAATTTTCGTTAAATTGTTATCAACTTTTTCGCTTTATTGCGCACTTTGAGCTGGGGGGCTGGCAACTGGCGCACAGGGAGGGGGAGAGTGCTTGAGTGATACTACTGAATACGTATGTACACTTTTGCAATACGAGGATGAGAGCATAGCAATGGGCAGAGGGTAAGCGGGCTCGGTAGAGATGGTCTAGGGTCGGGCTTCGTTGTTGGGGTAAAAAGAAAAGAGGATATCGTTTTGTAGGATGTGGGCGGAGCCCCGAAAAAACCATTGCTTACCCTCTTTTATAGGTCAGATTTATACTCAGACAATCGCAAATGACTTCCGGGGAAAACTGAATTCATAAAACTTCCAGACGGACGCTTCTATTGGGCCTTGTGGGTGGGCTCCACCCTACCTGGGTCTGCCCCACCTGGCAGCTCCGATAGCAGCGTCCCCGGAAAATTTAGAAATTCGGTTTTCCCTGAAAGTCATTTGCGATTGTCTGAGTAAACATACGCACTGATAGAATTCAAGCTACAATCACATGCATGCCAGAGCGTTCCTTTAACTAAATTGCTGTGGCCAGATCTGGTTGAGTTGGACTAGAGTTCTCGACGTACTAAACACTAAATGGTGCCACTTTTGATGACAAAGCCGTCAATCAGCTACCTCAGATTATGTATTTTTGTTATTTTATTGTCTTAAATGCCTCAAAATACGCTTTTTGTTTTGTATTGCTATGTTGATTGAATGAAGGTTTTCCTACTGATCAACGGGGGATTCGGAAAAATTTTGTGAAGTCATGAGGGATTTCGTTTCCAAAAATGCTCCAAACCGACAAGCGGGTTCTGGTAGTAAACTTTACATGATTGAATGCAGGGAAGGGCGGAGCCGCCTATAGCTGGTCATGCACATTTCCAATCAAATCGGCTTTTGTCAGTATAATAGAAGCTAGATTAATGAAATGAAAGACTCCTATTCGAAGGTCTTTCTGAAGACTTGAGGCTCAGAAATGAATAAAGATGTAAGAAGGAAGCATACACATGAACTAGAAAAAATAATCTTCTGAATGAAAACATTGCTAAAAAAGGATTCTTCTCTGGATACGAGGGAACTATCTGAGGTATCTTTCCATGTTCGCTGTGTTTGGAAGATTGCAGATCAATGCTTTTGATCCTTTCAAAATACGGCACATGGATGTACAGTGGTCATTCATGAAGAGAACATGGCAAACAAGTTAGTGTACTTGTAAAATTTGGTGTTTGTCAGATTATTGTTTTAACGTCTAGCGATTGTTATCCCACATATATGGAAGCAATGTGGCCAGTGACGACTAAGATTCATCATGATCGACATGCGTAATGGAAACAAGGGATCAAATAGCCAGTGGACGAAAAATCAGAAACGATTTCCGGTTGGCATGTAACCATTCATATTTCACCAATCGCATCTCCAATCATTGTTTACGTTTTCAATAATTCTTCATCATTACCCACTTTTGATTATTTACTAACTCATTTACATTTGCTTATTTATATTCAACATGCTTTTTGTTGAGTTTTTTCATTTTGTGATTATTCTATTCCATACATTCCATACCCTTCAATTTCGAACAGTGTCATCAATTCATTTCGTACATTTCACTCAATTCACTTTATTTCATTTCATTCATATGCACAACTAATTCATTTTATTCACGTGTTTAACTTTGTCATTTCCTTTATTTATTTACTCATTCTTTTTTTCTTTCATTCATTCACTCATTTGTTCACTCATTCATTTATACATACATACATACATACATTAATTCATTCATTCAATCATTCACTCATTTACTTATCCATTCTTTCTCATTCCTCACCATTCTTCATTATCGTTCATTTATTTATTCAATTCAGATTCATAATCATCTTACTTCGCTAATATTTATTTGTTTAATATTTTGTTTTATTCACTCGATCTACCTCGATTTCAAATATTTCAAAAACAGGCACTTTTTTCTATAATAACGCGTTCATCCTTCACTTATGCCAAAAACCATACTTTAGCTCTACTTTTTTGTTTTCGGAGTTCTCCGATCCTCACAAGAATTACTAGCTGGCAAGTAACTAATTCTAATTCAAGAAAAAATCAGTGTATATTTGCTTCTCGCAAGCGATTTCCAGATCCTTGAGGGTACAATCTAGAGCAAGATTTTTTTGCGCTAAGATTTGTCCCGCGATTTCTTCCCTTTCGTCGTGAATTTCAAGTCAGTTTTGCCTAATGTTGAATTCTCGCTACCCACTGAATGAACCTTCAAATTTCAGACTTTTCGTCAATTTTGTACACTGATGCCTAGAAATTCTTTGCACCCTGCGATCAAAAGCCATCGATCAGCCATTAGCGTACAAATTGCCGCTTCCTCACCATCACAGAGTTCATCGATCTTCTCATTTAGATTCAAATTTGTTCCGAGAAGAGCTCGGAGCAATATTTGGGCTGTGAAATGTATCCTCGGTGGGGTGAGAGAGCGAAAATCAACGATGATCGGTGCGTTGGCCGAGGGCATTCGTTCAAACGCAGACCGCTGACCTGCCCTTGTGCCTATCGTCTCGTGCACTAGCGGTAAATAATGGGTGCATAGTACAAGAATGCAAGAAATTGGTTCGAAAATAGTGTTAGAGGAATATTTGTCAACTAAGCAAATTTACAGATATTTTCCTTGGTTCATGAGCCAGAAAAATTCACCTCTTTCCGGCAAAAACGCGAAAAAATTGCGTCTCGATTTCCTGCAAGGGTAATATTGCCCTAACTCAAAAAGTGAAAAATTACAGATTTTATGCTTTTCATATTCTTTTACTGCAGAAATTAGCTTTAAAAAAGAAAAACTACTTGAGATGAACTTTTCTCACTCGCTATGATGCCGATGTTTTGGCTTTTGATTTTGTTTTTGATCAAATATTTCATTCCACAAATAGCTCGTACCCTTTATCAATGAAAGATGCATGAGAGGAGTCTGATAAACTTTGCTTTCTGATTATTGAACATTCAAGGGTTCGGATTTGAGCATCAAGCCATAGAGCAAATGATAATGTAAAGCTTAGCTTGGAAAATCAAAAAGCTCGCAATCGGGGGCTAAATTTTATTAAACGAGTATTTTCTTTATCTGACTATGAACTTTTTCAAATCCTTGTCTCTATTCTATTTTTCAGGTGAATTACAAGTTCCATGTATCATCTCTTTAATATCAAATCATCAAATCAGTTATTATCTTGAATTCATTTAGAAGTAAGCACAGCAATCAGCAATGTTCCCTTCATTTCTTTTATTACTACACTAGAGTATTTCTTTCAAATTCTTGCTTAAATATTATAACATCTTCTGTATTTTAAATTTTGCTTCAGAGACCCTCCTTTTATCAAATAATCAACACAACTCTTCTTAAACCTCAACTAAACCTATTTTTGGTTATGACGTCTAACGTCCCGCAACCTTTACCAATATCTTATTTTCTCTTTGCAGCTTGCTAATCTTCAGGTTGATCGATAAAAAGTGAAAATGAAATAGATTTCGCTACTATCATTGTTTTCGGAGAAAAACATTATCATTTTGAACTTTCACTTTCTTGAGTTTAATGTCATTGGTGACAATTCTGAAGGTTACTTATTGTTTCTCCACACATATACTGCTTGTCCAAAACAAAGGAAAAATGTCCTGTATTAAATTTAGGAAGTTCTTAGTCGCGTGGAAATCGTCAAAAATAAAATGAATAAAATTTACATTTTCAGACAGTTTAATGGTAGTGATCAGCATTGCTCAGCAAGCAATTCAATAGTGTTATTTCGCAACTGCTATATTACCCATCGTGTTTCGTTTGTTGCAGTGACTTCTTCACATTCTCCCTAAAATTTTAACCCATAAATCTCTGCTTGTTGCTAAATCATCAAGAACATTTTGGCGCCATTGAAAGTAATGATTTGATCATGATCTTTCGTTTTGATGTTCGAACAATCAAAGTAATACAACATTTTTTCTTGCGTTTCAGGAAAAATCAACACGTTGATTGGTGGCTTTTGTCACATTTTGTATGTTCTTTGAGTCAATGACAGTTCGTTTTCGAAATTAGGGGAATAAAAATAAATCCAATTTTATCTATAGAGCAGGGAAGAAAGGAAGTGAACCGGGAATTATTTCTACGCCCTGATGATGTGTAATGTGTAATGCTTGTCGCCATTAGCTTCCTTCCCACCTCACATTTACGTTTTTCATACACTTAGTGCTGCCGAATTCTAAATAGCCAATTTTACGCCTGAATTTTTCCATAGTGACGCAGCTAGCGCTACCGTTATCCCAAATAATCTTCTTATCCCTATAAATTTCCATTTTTCCATAGAAAAACAAATTTAGATCTGATCTTTGTACTATGACATCAGCCGCACCGTTTCCGTCAACGTGTCGCGATGTTCGCAAAACTTCTCATGCCTCTCCCCCCTATACCCCCCCCCCCGCCTTCGGCGACCAACTTCAGCCCGTTTTCATCAGCAGCTATATAAGACGAGTCAGCCACACGCGCTTCCGACCGATCTCTGATTTCGGCTTGGCTAAGATTACTCACGCAATTCTTTTTCCGTACACTTTTTGTTATGACGTTATGAGATGTTCGATTATGTTGTACTAGCTGGCTTACCCGGCTCCGCCGTATCCGGACCAAACTTGGCACACATACACTTCGGGCCCCGGCGGGTGTCACAGTCCACTTTTCGTTATCGATCGATGTCGATTTTACCGATTTTTATCGATTTTTTGGCAGAGTTCACCTACAGGGCTAGGAGTTGGCACAGGGGGGAAGTGAGCATGGGGATTCCGAATACAATATTAGTTTTCAGAATTATCGATTGCTTTTATTGATTTTATCGATTTTTTGGCAGAGTTCACCTACAGGGCTAGGAGTTGGCACAGGGGGGAAGTGAGCATGGGGATTCCGAATACAATATTAGTTTTCAGGATCGTCCATTACTTTTATCGATTTTATCGATTTTTTGCAAAGTTTGACCTGCGGGGCTGGGAGTTTGCACAGAGGGTAATCGAGCATGCAGATTACGAATACAATATTAGTTTTCAAGATCGTCCATTACTTTTATCGATTTTATCGATTTTTTGAAAATTTGAGCTAGGGGGCTGGAATTTGGCACAGGGGTGTTCGAGCATGCTGATCACCCCCCTTGGGGATGATCAGCATGCTCGATTAACCCCCCTGTGCGAACTCCCAGCCCCGTAGCTCAAACTTTGCAAAAAAATCGATAAAATCGATAAAAGTAATCGATAATCCTGAAAACCAATATTGTATTCGGAATCCCCATGCTCGATTACCCCCCTGTGCCAACTCCCAGCCCCGTAGCTCAAACTTTGCAAAAAAATCGATAAAATCGATAAAAGTAATCGATAATCCTGAAAACCAATATTGTATTCGGAATCCCCATGCTCGATTACCCCCCTCTGCCAACTCCCAGCCCCGTAGGTGAACTCAGCAAAAAAATCGATAAAAATCGATAAAATCGATATCGATCGATGACGAAAAGTAGCCTATGACACCCGCCGGGGCCCGTAGTGTATGTGTGCCAAGTTTGGTCCGGATCGGTTCAGAAATGGAATTTTCTATTCGGAACATACGTACACACAGACAGACAGACAGACAGACAGACAGACAGACATACAGACAAACAGACATTCAGCTTTATATATAAGATGAGAAGGGGCGGGGGTAATGTTAAGGTATATAAGTGGACATTTTGATCGCTCAGTTTTAGTGTCCAAAGTTCCTGGGTCCATTTTCCCCCAAAATTGGAGTTTCGCATAAGACAATTCTCCAGTTTCTCTCCTGGATATTTCTCGGTGTGGTAGAAATTTCACCCACAGCTTTTCTCCCTTATCTTCTTTACCGCATACTTCAAATGAATTTTCATGATATAAATTAGTTTTTGCGATTTATTCCGACAAGTTCTCGTTGACACTTGATTCTTTCCATATTTTGTAAAATATTGAACTCTCGTTCCAATATTCTTTTTCAAATCTGTTTGTTCGTTTACGCGTATTTGGACTTTGAACTTTGATTTCGCCTGTTTTGCCTTAGTTTTGGAATTTCAAATCAAAATGTGCTCAGGATGAATATCCGGGAAAAAGTGTTTGATTGGCGGGGATTTCTTTACGTATGGTATTTACATTCGCAGTGAAAAGCAATTTTTCCAGAATAAAAGCCGGAAAAATGGAAGAATTCGTAGGACTAATAACTGTGATTAACCACTCTATTGAAAATTGACAAACAGTTTTTGTTCCGATTCTGTATTCTTTTTCTGTACTTAGTTGTGTTATTCCACGATTATTCAAAAGGTTTAATTTTTGATTTGACTAGCATTTCACAAAAAATTCTAAGTTCAAAATATCATGGAAATTTTTGGTAGTCTCGTCCGCAAACGATGTGCGCCACTTCTGCAAACACGATTAGTACAGTTACGTTCTACGATTTTTAAGAATTTCAATTTTAAGCATTTCTTATGAGTTGTACCTTTGACCATTGAGATTTCAATGGTTTGTAGAAATCGAACCTTCCCTTTTTCCCACCGCGGATAAGACCATCTGATGTGTTATCTTACCCAACGTTGTTACCACAGGCATACCTCGGTAACTTTACGACCCCGCATAATTTACCTCCTCCCCCCCTCCTCTATCGCATGCAATGCACCCATTTATCTCCTCGTGGCCGATCACTAGCCAAGACGCCTCTTGGATCTCTTCGCGTCCACCTATTACGATTGTCAGCAATTGCACTCGACTTGTGGGAATTTGGCCCCTAGCCAAGTCGACGGAGGGCGTGTCGAGGCGGACAAAGGGTCAGCACCGTTTTGGGTGCAGTAGCACCCGATATTCATCTCATCGCAGCGCACGATGAGTGGTTCGGGTCCAATTTGCTCTCTTCTCCGTTCTTTACCCCTTCTTCCATCTTGGACGAGATTACTCATCTCGGGGTAGGTCAATATGCAGAGCAAAGAGTAACCTCTAGGCTTATTGCACATGACTGCGAACGCTTTTATTAGTCTAGTGTTTTCTGATTTCTCTCCTCCCCCCCTATCCTCCACTAGAAAGTTTCCACTAAAATTCCAGTAGGATTATGAATTACAACTGTTCTTGAGTTTTTTGCTCCCATTCTCCCTCAAACATTTTTTGCAATTATTGTAGGATTACTTAGTACATAGAACCATACCCCCTACAAAGGGCAGTGCAATATGACGCTATCTATGTTTACCTTTTCTCCGACTCCGCCCACTCGGCTCTCCTTCCTCCCACTTCTTCCCACTCTTTTCCCATTCAATTGCAAACACTTCTTATCAGTCAGACAGTCACTTCCAGCACTCTTATCTTTGTGGTGGTCTGTGCTAGCTCATTGTTCTTCTTTTCTTGTATTCATACCTTTTAGTCCTCTGATCATGACTTTCCGATTTTTGCACAATTTTGTCTTTTCCCCCAAAAAATTCGCGATTTTTTCAGCTGAACCGCACCAGCAAGTCGTCTGTCAACTTGCCGGCGCGATTGAGACAACAGAGACAGTAACCTATACTGCCAGAAAATCAAGTCCATTGAGTACGACAGACGGATAGCGTTTAACGCTACCACTCTTAAGGTTGGTTTTTACCCTAGAGGGTTAGGGTAAGCCGTTCGAATTTGAAAATTTCTGCAGGTCTACGAGGTTCGAGCTCCCGAGACCTTCATCAGTTTTCTCGCATTCATCTACGACTCAGTGGACGAAGGCGAACCACCTCCCAGGTAGCATTTACCCAACAACTGAGCTACCGATTCTAACCAAACTGGCTGATTTAACCATGATCAAGCAAATGGAAATTATTGGCGACAGCAAGGTTGGCAAATTGTCTAGAAAAATTTTGAAAAAAATAAACCATTTTTTGTTTTGCAGGTCGGCATCCTCGAAGAAAAAGCAGATGCTGTTGGCTTATGCCGACAAATCGCTCTGAACAAGGACAAAGATGTAAGATTATTCACATTTTCTCTAGCTTGGCAAAATTCCAAATTTTTTTCAGGACAATGATGATGCCTTCATGCTTGTCGACCTGGACGTTGTATTCGATCGTTTTGCTCTATGGAAACGTGAACTGCCAATGATTGAAGTGAGCTGACGATTTTTTTTGGCAATTCTCGAGGGTGTGGAGATTTTAGATGCTCTCTCCTAGACCTAAAATGGATTTTGGCAAACTTTCAATTCTCTAAAAACTCTTCTGTAATCTTCTCAAAGGAAACATATCTGTAGTAGTGCTTACCCAAAGGTCTTGGCCGCGCATTTATGGCTAAGCGATGACGTGGAGTACGGTAGCAGCTTGCATGGATACGGTACATAAGGTTATGATATGGTGCAAAAGGTTTGTACGCGCATACGAAGCAAATCTTGTGAAAAAATTAAAAACGTACAAAAAATCGGTAAACACCTCGAACGAATTTAGCGCGGGAAACTCGTTTTAACAAGAAAAGTGAACAATTTTTGACGCGAAAAAGAGCAAGAACTTGTTTGAATCATTGAACTTTTATCGGGTTTGGCGCGGAAAGGTGTGTTTGAGAATAAACACCTTAATCGCATTTTGGTGGGAAGAAGAAATGTAACGATTCCGAATGAAGTTATTTTTCTGACTTAAAATTAATAATTTGAACAAAATTCACTTTTCCAGCCTTTCTACGCTGTAAAATGTAACACCGACCTTGTCCTCATCCGCATCCTAGCCTCACTCGGAGTAGGATTCGATTGTGCAAGTCGCGAAGAAATCGACATCGTAAGCAATTTTTTTACCATCTAAAAAGCCCCAAAATGATATTTTGGACCTAATTAGGCCCAAACCTTAGGTTATGGACATGGGTGTGACACCGGATCGTATCATCTATGCAAATCCATGCAAGACTCGATCATTCATAACACATGCTAAGGAAAGAAATGTCACGATGATGACATTTGACAATGCTGAGGAACTAGAAAAAGTGGCAAGACTGCATCCAGATGCTGAGTAAGCTTTTTACTGTTTTGCCCTCAACATTCAGGGAGACCTGTCTCTATTTTTTTTTCAGAATGATCCTGCGCATCGCTGTGTCGGACCCAACTGCCACTTGTCCTCTGAACCTGAAGTTTGGAGCAAATCCAGTAAAAGAAGCGCCACAGCTACTCGTTCAAGCAAAGCAGCTGGGAGTTGAAGTCGTCGGAATCAGGTAGATAAATTTTGAGCTCAGAGGGTAAAGCGGTTAAGATAAGTAAAACATATGAAGAGGCGTTGAAAAAGAGGAGAGAAAGGGGATGGGGAGGGAAGAAAGGTGCGCTTTTGTTTTGTGACAATAGTGAGTGCGGGAAAAAATCAAATTTTTCTCAAAAGTCAGTATCAATAGGAAACCGAAGTCTTCGTCAACTGATTATGTGAGGTAGACCACTCCTTGTCATTTGGTTACTGTAGTCGCAATAGGAATTTTTGTCATTCGGTTATTGCAGTTGCAACTGGAATCTTCGTCATTTGGTTGCTGTAGTTGCAACTAGAATCCTTGTTCTAGCTGCTGTAGTTGCTACTATCCTTGTTCTAGCTACTTTAGTTGCAGCTATAATCTTTGTCATTTGGTTACTGTAGCTGCAACTAGAGTCTTTGTCCTCTGGTTGCTGTAGTTGCAACTGGAGTCTATATATCTGGTTGCTGTAGCCGCAACTAGAGTATCTGGTTGCTGTAGTTGCAACTAGAATCTCCTCATCTGGTTACTGTACTTGCAACTAGAATCTTTCTCATCTGGTTACTGTAGCTGCAACTAGAATCTTTGTCCTCTGGTTGCTGTAGTTGCAACTGGAATCTATATCATCTGGTTGCTGTAGCCGCAACTAGAATCTCCATCTGGCTAGTATAGTTGCAATTAGAATCTCTGTCTTCTGGTTACTGTAGCATACTTGACTTATCTGGATACTGTAGCGTACTGCTTCTTTGAGCGCATCCTTATTTTGATCAAAAATAAATTCTTCGGTAAACACTATCAGTTGCAGTTTCCACGTCGGCTCTGGCTGTAATGATCCGACTGCCTATCGCGAAGCCGTAGCCCATGCAAGAAATCTCATGGACATCGGAGAAGGACTGGGCTTCTGCATGAAAATTCTTGATATGGGTGGTGGATACCCTGGAGCTGCTCATCATACTTCGTTCCAGAGTGTGGGTCACAGAGTAAAAAAAAACCAACTGGGAAAATTTCTGAATTTTTTGCTCTCAGATTGCAGCCGTAATTCGCTCAGCAGTGGATGAATTTTTCCCGGATAATTTGGGCGTGAGGCTGATTGCTGAGCCAGGAAGGTGAGAAATATACTGCCATATTTTGGGGGGGAATTTTGGGGGGGGGGGGGCAGGCGTTATGGAGCAAAGCTACGCCGCATTCCCCTGCGGTATATCCTGAGGGGCATTTGCGTTGCGTCCCCTTTAATTGCAGCCGCAGGAGTAGCGCTGCCCCTGACAGCGGATCAAGCCGTTCCCTATTACTACAGCCTGATATGTTCAAATAAATAGATGAATCTTAGGGATAAATCAAAGGCTGACTATGGGATGATTCAATGCTGGATTTGGGTTAAAAGAGTTCAAGAGAAGTGAAACACGAGTATCAACAAAGAAAAAGAATAGAGATTTTCCGTCAATGACTTTCCAAGAGAAGATAACTTCCTTATCTTTTACTTTTTCTTGTCTTGCTTTGCAGACACTTCTTCCTCATATTCTATATAAGGAAGAAGTCTTGAAATGCGTTTATCATCCACATTCTGGTGTTTTTATCTATGAAGAATAAGGAGAATGGCTCAATCCGCTGGGTAACGCTAGCTCCTGTGCAGCTGCAATTAGGAGCGACGCAACGCAAAGGGTCCTCAGGATATACCGCAGGCGAATGCGGCGTAGCTTTGCTCCATAACGCCACGCCGCCCATGTTTTGTAAGGGGGAGGGAGGGGGGCGGTGTAAGCGACTTGTGGCCTTTTTCGCAATGCAAAGATCTTGCTTAGTCTACCTAGTGATTTTTTCCCTCCATCCTCCCTCATCCTCCCAATTTCGCTCAAAACCATAGGAACTGTAGACTGGAATCTTTTTTAAAAAACGAGAATAATTGAATTCCAGGTTCTTCGCAGCTGCGCCATTCACACTTGTCTGCAATGTCATCCATGCAACTGAAGTATCTGCCGAAAAAATTACAAAGAAATGTAAGTTCAATTTAATTCCGAGAAGATCCTCCTCTTTACAATGAAATTTCCGGGTTCAGCTGAAGATTCCGAACATCGCGGCTACATGTATTACATCAATGATGGTGTATACGGCTCTTTTAATTGTATCCTTTTCGACCATGTTCACCCTGAAGGGACACCACTCTTTGCAAGTTTTTACCGCTTGAAATTTTTCAGATGGGAAAATAGTTTCTAAATTTTTAAGGACGAGATAGCAGAAGAGTACCCGACCACCATCTGGGGTCCCACATGTGACAGTTTGGACAAAGTCGAAGATAATAAACACATGCGTCGACTCCGCATCGGCGATTGGATAATGTACCCAAATATGGGGGCTTACACTTGCTCGGCATCCACTACTTTTAATGGATTCCAAAGACCAACAGCTATGTATGTTATTGGGAGAGAGAACTGGTAAGTGTAGTTAGTGAATGTAATACCGTGAATGAATTGTAATGCATCAAATTTCAGGGCAAAAATTTCTTCTTCGCTCTACGTTTAACGCGATGACCACGAGCTGAATAAACTCTATTACCAATTACGAACAAAATTTCATATATTGATATGTAGATTATTTTAATAACGCCTGTTAACGCATGATAACATAAGAAGAATACAACAAAGATGAGTAGTTGGATTGAATTGGTGATAAATCTCTTTGCTTCCAATTATTGCTTGAATGCTTATTATGGTACAAACGATTTCTCACTAACAATAAGAAATAAATCATCTACTTATTTTCTAGCTTTATTCCAAGCAAGTATATCTTTTCGCATGGTGAAAACATGAAAGTGTTTGTGGAGTCTGTTTTTGGAGCGTAATGAAAGAATATTACCGCTCTTAGTGTTTTGAGGTTACAACATGCATACAATAATGATATCGTACCAAGCACTTGATCAGGATAAAGGGATGTGGAGAGTCCAGAGTCTATATATTGCTATCTCAGGCTATAAAAGGCAATATTGTTTGTTCTGGAGAGAGAGGGAGTTGTGTGAGCTTTATCTTCGAATTTAGCATGAATGGGGAACAAAATATTTATGGACCTAAACCGTTAATCGTTAAATTTCATAGATGCTACCTCCTTTATGCGTGGCATAGTCACTCTAATGTGTTTAGCGTAATGGAACAAAAAGGAAAAAAAGGGTGGCTTTTGTTGCCCTACAAAATGCGTACATCTGTTTAGCCGGAATCACCAGAGATTACCATGTTGTACAGGGCGAAGAAAAACGAAGAAGTCACCAACCTTGTTTGATTTTTTTAGTCACCCCCTGTTTAGAAAAGGTTCAGACTCAGGAAAGAGAGTTTCAAAACATATTCAAAGATTGTTCAGCGTCAAAAAAGTTGGGAACCTCATATTTAGACGCAGTTTGGGAAATGTGTTGGAGTTACTTGTTATAGTAATCAATATTGAATCTTTCCATAATGCTCGCCAGTCCCAATATCATCTCTAATGAGTACAGATCTTGTAGGAAAAATACAAGTGCTTTTCTTTCTAAGATCTTGGAACAGTTCTACATTAGATAGGGAAGAAAACTTCAACAGCAACAGATATGTCATCAAATGGTAACAACAAATTTTACAGGTGAGATTTTCTACGTCTTAGAGAGGGAGGAACTTCTGCCAAGCACCACCATTCAAGTCTGAATCATTTGATCACGAGTGCTCCACCCAGTGCTTCTGCCGGCTTCAAATGTTCTGCATTCAGATCGGACGTAGTTATGACCAGAAAAGCTAGATGTGCTTGAAAAACACCGACTTTACTAAGGATCTTAAAAATGTATTCTAAACATGTAGCAATAGTAGTAAGAACTACTTTTTTGCAATACTTATCTTTGTGAGACGATAACCATATATCTTGATGTTGGAATCTTCCTCAAGATATGCTCTCAAGGTGATTTCGACCTCAATGTTTGTTGACAAATACGACCACAGGTGGCACACTAAGACTCTGCCACCTAATCAAACTTATTAGGGTGTTAATAAAATAATTTTTCATCGTTACTATTTTGCCAGTGATGACATAAAAGCGTAAAAACCTATCAATCGATAGAGCCATGCCAAACCTGCAAGGCGACATTCCAAGAATCGCAAAAGGTTTGCTCCAGATGAGTTTGGAAGAAGAATCTAGAAAATTTGAAATACACAAAAATCGGAACTTTGTTCAAATAGACCATACGTGCCTCTATTATCAAGCGTATAGGGTGTCCCACAAAAGTGTGCACACTGTTTGATCGTGAATAACTCGCTTGTTTCGTTGTCTCTCCCGACCAGTAGGTGCCACTTTGTAGAGCGAGGTTCCTTAGATTTATATTGTAAAGCGAAACTCCAATCTCTTTTCGCTACTGTATGATTATGGTATTGACTTTTAGCACACAGAGCCATTGCGAAATAGGACGTTCAATAAGAGAAATTCCAAAAAACTATGCAAATTTGTGACGCAAAGTTTTGTAAGCATGCTGATTTCAATATGCAACTTCTTACGAAAATTTGAACCTTTTCAGGGCTGTAATTACATTTTTAAAGAACATTGAAAGGGCGGTTGTTAGCATGACCGTGGTGTGCAAATTCCATATCTGCAATCAGCGTCTCTAACTAGCCTAGTATCCGAGTTTCTGGCTTTTTTGGTTCCCTCTCCGGGGCGAAATGCGACTCTTACGGCCTAAAACATTCTTCAAAGTTCCTACCGTAATCTACAGTAACGAAGGGAGGTCTGAGTTTCCTTCATACTGCACATCTAAGTTGAGCCTTGCTCTATAGAGTGGTACCCGAAGACGGCGATAGAAATCGGAGCAAGCGAGTTATTAACGATCAAACAGAGTGCGCACGTGTTTTTGGGACACCATATACTATCTACATCAGATACATATATGTGTACATTTGCCGCATTTTGCGACACAAAGCTAGGAAATAAAAATGAAAATACAAAAATTCATCTCCTTGAGGTTTTAACTCAGAATCTGGTATTCTCTAAAATTAACGCTTGCGAGGGAAGGCTGACTTCAAATGCCTTTTTTTTTACCACAGCAACATAGCAATTCTTTTGCTAAAACATGTCGATCCTTATCTTTTTGACTTCGAACAATGGAAGAAATGCATTAAGTGCATAAATAAATAGGTTGTCCGATTTATAACACCAGCGCGTCACACCCGCTTCACGGAGGTTCGCACTGGCTTCCTATCCGTATGCCTTTCTCATGTTCGCATGAGAATGGCTTTGAATCACCACGCGATGCTGAGCATCACAAATGAATCGTAAACAACTGTTCATACATGAAGCATTTCTTAGTAAGATCGGTTATTTGAGAAAAAAAACTTTGTTGCAAGGAAACAAATGCGAATTTAAACGGACTACTGAATTTATTTTAGCTTGCTAATCTTCATAAGGATAATAGTCACCTTGGGCTACATTTCAGTGCAAAAATCTTTTCAGTTTTCTTAAATAAAACCTTGCCGAATCGACTATCTATGCGTTCATCACTTTTTCATTGTTTTCGCAAAGCAAACTTTTTTAGCACTTTTTGGGCTAGAATTCATGGCGCGCAGAGTTACTTGTCAGGCAAATCATAACTTTGCAAAAAGTTGAATTAGCGACCCAGTTTTGCGTGCCAAAAGGTGCGTGGACCCGTTTGACGCGCAAATTTTGAGGGACCCCCTTATCGAACCGGCTCGTCCTTATGCATGGTGGGCCTAAACGCTAGCATGGTATGTTATGCAAAATTGCAGCCCGATAGCTTACTAGTTGCAGCTTCCTTTATAAATTTCGTGACAGACAGATTTTCACAAAGATAGACAGACACACACAGAGAAAAACAGGCGGCCTTAGCGCGTTATTATAGTAGGATTTTTGAGCAAGTTGAAAGCTTATAGAATCTTCGTTAACCAAAATCCGATCTTTAAATGTCTAAAATCTCCACCACGCTTGCTTTGCTCTCGACTGATATATTTCGTACTTTTTTTGCACTCTCTGTCGCGGCAAGATATGAAACACTTACTACTTTTGCACTAACTAATTGTTAGTAGAATTTGTCAAATCTTTGCTTGTGTGATTCGATACCATTCCACCATGCTGCAGAGTACCTTACTAACCGCGAGTGTTACATTACAAAGGCGATCTTTACTTGCTAGAAATTTGATATCCTCTCATAAGATAAATGTCTGACTATTCGTACCGACTGTTTCATTGCGTTGGCCCTCGCACCTCTCGAGTTGCGCCATGGTCTGCGGCGTGCACGAACAGTACCCAAACCGAACTGTTTTGAACCACTGGTGTTAATTATCCATTTTAAACTCTTTAATCAAAGGCATCCCTTTCCATCTCTGATCTGACTCGAAGCGGTGTGAACTACATGTAAGATTGGCTAATAAATAGCTTAGATCGCTTTTGCGGCTCCTACAAAGGCTGCAGATAAATTTCTGTCCAGTGTTTGGTATCTCTGTATAAAGCAAAAGACTCTTTTGCCGAGAAATGGAATGAACAGCACATCACCTTGACAACGGCCATATTTTGCGTGCAATATCGTTGCCGCTTGGCATAGAAATAATTGTTCACTTACGGTTGTTTCATGCTGTTGTTGTGAACGTGAATCTGCGTAGATTTATTTTGCATACAACTAAAGTTATACAATAGTAATTAAAAACCTTCATTTATCAAACACAGGCATAACATCTGCAACGATAAACACCGGGTACACTGAGTATGCATTCGCCGCCACCGCAACGCTGAAATAAGACCCGTAGGGTCGCTAGTAATGATAAAATCCATGTTCAATGTCTATCTGTTTTCAAACACTTATTTGTCTTTGCATCTTGTCAAGTGCTAATTTCGATTCCAGGTGTCAAAAAAATGCTTAGCGTTTAATACGGTAGTGTGCCCAGTTTGCTCATTTGCAACGAAGAGTATGAGCTTACTTTCGCAAATAATTATCTCCAGCGGTTGCATAACCATACAGAAGCTCTTACCAAGATTTTCGCCATAAAAACCGTCGCCATAAGTAGTCACTCTCACAAAACGGAAATCTCCACTACTGAGAAACAAATATTAATTGATACAAAGGTCGCTCAGCACAATCATGAAACCGTGAGTAAAGCTCCTTACTAGGTTTAAATGCAAACATTGGAGCAAATCTGAATGGCTTTCGGAAGATGTCATGTTTATGGCATTTCAAAAGGTCTATTCATCGCTATCGCCGCATCCGCGGTTCGTGTGCAAAACACCCGCTTCATGACTGGAAAGCTTGTCCCCATTTTTGTAAGAGCTGGCATTCTTGCAAATGATGAGCGAAAGACCGGACAATGTGATTTACAGGCAGGGCATAACCTACAGTTCCAACAATGGGGGGATGGCACCAAGTCTACAGAGGTTTATCTGCGCTTGTCAGTGTTCGCTTCTTTGCAATCACGGCTTCTAATAAAGAGAGTCTTCGAGAAATTTGGAAAATTATTTTTGGACTTTTTTCACTTCCTACACGGCGCACATTGCGAGCTCTCAATTTGACGTGCCATAACTTTCTAAAATATCTATATCTTCCAATGCGTTAAAAAACTCTTAGAGGTAGCAAACTTAATACAGCGTACATTCTCGAACACCCATATCACCAATGGGCAGAAAAATATGGATTGAGAAGCAAAAAAAGTTTTTTCCTGACTTGTGTTCAACTGGTCACTCCCTTCAATATTTGTTAATGTAAATGATAAGTAGCCTACCTTGTAGCCGTAAGTGAATAGTATTAGGTTGTTGCAAAAATAATGCCCGTTTTTCTAGGCGTATATTCCAAACGACTTTTCTCCATCAGGCTTTCTTTTTGATGCATATTCTGCACATCATTGGAAAGCTTTCTTCATGTACTTTCTAACGGTGGTAAAATTAAGCTTTTATCTCATCTGTAAGATTTTCACCATTTTCATCAGCATTTTGCACAGCCGCGCTCAAAATCGAAATTTCATTGCTCCAACTTTCTTGGCCACAATTCAGGCGCAAATAAACGAATACTTCTGAAAACATGGCTACTGTATATGATAAATATTGTTTACTCATTGCATGTTTAAATAAGTTTTTCGAATATACCTGAACTGACAAAACGAGCTTCAGAAAAGATACTCGCTGCCTGGAACTCTATGGGTTCGAATTTTTTCCTGATTAGGGCAATCGCTGAAATTTCGCTCATTTCTGGAGGCTTAAAGTCAGGACATCTTATCTACACTTCATGCAAAAAAAACGTGGCTATTCAGTGCATGAAGAATTCCAATTTTCATAGTTTGGGACTTCCAAGCCTATCACAAATAGGCTTAAAAAAGTGAACAATTTTGGATTTCTATCTTTTTTTATTTCGCATAACTTCTTCGCTAAAGTTCTTTTTATACAAGCGTATACTACTGGGTTGCGTCTACAAAATAAGCTGAATAGCAGCCATGACAACAAAGCTTGAAGGAATTTGTAATTTTTTAAAAACGAGGTTTTCAAAAGCAAAACTTTTGGTTTCCTTCCTGTTTGCGTTATCAGTATATGCAGGTGCGCCTTAGATTACGAAAGGTTTACTGCATTTGATGGTCTTGATTGCGTTCAAAAATATGAGACCTGAACGAAGTTATAGCTTTTCAAAGTGAAATTTTGCAAAACGGATTATTTTTGCAACAACCTAATACAAACAAAGCTGGAAAAGGCTGGAACGAAAAGGATTTGCAGAAAGAAAAAATTTAAAAAGCAGAGTTTTTACTTTTCTTTAACATTTTCCATAGTCTCCAAAGTCCAAATTATGGAATTATTGATTTTCTGCACAATGAACTACTCAAAATTTCTGCAAAAAACTGTAAAAAGGAGCTCCTAACCTTACGCTTACAGAAATAAGCAGAGTTTGGCAATTGCTTTCTCGAGTACAAATTCATGAACCGTAGAATGAATACAATGACTACCCATGTTAAGGTGTCGATATTTCAGCTTAGATGACTTCAGAATATATGGCTAACTATGCGTAATGTAGACAATTTCTATTACATATAAAAGCATTTTTGAAAGAATGTCTTCATTCGCGCTTGAATCGACCGAAACGTAAATGCAATGAAATTTTGGATTCGAGTGCGGTTGTTTGAAGCTCTATAAATTTGGCGAGAAGGCTAAAAGCCCGTTTCAACCAATATTGAATAGAGCATGAAAAGGGCTTTTGATGGTGCGCTAAACTTTTCCAAAGCAGAAGAGTTGATGGAAAAAAGTTGTTTTGAAACAAGTGGTAGAAAAACGCGCATTACTTTTACACTAACCTAATAATTTAAAAAGCAAATCAACACAGGAGTTTTAGACTGGCTTTTCAAAATCTGATTGTGAAGTTTGCATTCTTTATACTGTTTCTTTAATGACTTAAACCAAATCTAACGTAACAGCTGTATTTTCAATGCTTTTCAAAAACATATAAAAACGATTATATCGTTTAGAAACCTTTGGAACGTGCAAATGACTGAGCAGTAAAGTCAGCATGCGTGAAAAGTTGCCACACAATTTTCCAAAGTTGTTGAACTTTTTTTTGAAACGCGCTGTTCACAATTGTGCTGCACCCCAAGCTTCCTAATCAGGGTTAAGCGTGTGATGCGACCGTACAACGGGGCCGTAAAGGGCACCGGCGGTGGGGGGGGGGGGTCGTAAGAGAGGGTGGTCAGAATTAAAAAAGTGTGGAATGTAGGAAATAAGCTTCTCAATCGCAAACATTCTCTACTCTTCAGAAACAGCATTTTTCTCCTTGCAAAAAAGGTGTCGCAGACGGAGATAGGGACGGGATCGAACTTGCTGGCCACAAGTATGACCGAAGATTCCGAAGACACTTTCAGAACCTCAAACACTAGGCATGTATGAGGACAACAATGTTAAATGCACCAATTGGCCTAGAAATCCTGGTTCCAAAGCTTCACTCAAAGGCAGTGTCCCGGCAGATGCAGCTCCACCTTTTTGCATGTTTTAGGCGTTTTCGCCACGTAGAATCCGAATTTGAGCTTTGAACGGGCTGAAAAGGCCGATTCTGGGGCGTTTTCTTAATTCCAGAAAAGCAGCTTGGACGAGATTTTTAATGGAAAGTTGGGGGAGGTCCTCAGACGAAGATCCTGCCGCCTGTAATTCTTGCTTTGAAGAGCATGCATCATGGGGGAGAGCGCTCGTGGGGTCCCGCGCCGAACAGGCGGGAAGGCCGTCCAAGCGCGCGCCAGTTGGGGTTGCGCGCGCCGGTTCAAGGGCCATTTTCTCCGTCCAGGGGGAACATCACCCAGCCGGAGTGCGCCTGGAGGTCGACGGGGTGACCAGAAACCCCACCACATGTATATCCCTCAGGACCCGAATCTGCCGGGACACTGCCTTTAAGTCTCACACTCTCGACAAAAGCGCTCATCTCTACCAGCGATGACCATCGATAATTTTTGAAACTTTTTTTGTTGCGTCTTTCAAGGGCCCATACACTTTACCTGTACTTTGGAGAAGCTCTGCTACAAACGTGCAAAATCTGGTTATATTTCAGAGCCTGTGGATTTTTATAAATATTATATGTGGCAACAAAAAATGAAAAAAGGGAGTCTTATCTGGGTCGCATCTGAATTTTTTCGCCGCTGTGGAGGCCTGCTCGCTGCAGTTTTGCTGTATTACGAGCCATCCTCCTACTTTCTGTCGTAGAATTTAGTTGTTTCAAAATTTCCTGGCTGAGTTACAAAAAATCAAGCTTAGAAATCCCAGTTTTTGTTTTTTTGGATCGCATCTAAACTTGCGAGAGTCGCATCTATATTTTTTTCGAGCTCACTGCTCCTCAAGGGCTGAAACTTCTTCTATGGATAGCCTGGGCACAATGCTACAGAACTTGTTCATTGCAGTCTCTCGGTCTTTCCCTGACCTTAGTTACGAATTTTTAAATTACCGTGCTCATACACGTTTTTAGCATCGTTCTGAAAGGCGCTAAAACGGTTTTTTTCGCAGGCAAATCCGTACAATAGGTAGAAAGTAAGCTTTTTAGTCGAAGACAATTTTTACGCTTAAAAGATGTCGTTTTTTTTCTGCAAAAAATATCGTCGCGTACGGGGATAGAACACGGAACTGTCATTTAAGTCTAAAACTTTCTAATTTCCAGAACCATAGTCTATATCTTTCGGTACTATTGGACCATGAAAGGATATGCCGAACATTCATAAACAGCAGCAAAGTTTATTAACCTTCACTAGAAAAGAAGTTATTAGTCATATATAATGACTAAAGTGAACTGTTCCGCAATGCTGAATTTTCCTTGGTTGTTATTTCATTTCATTTTCTATAGGTAGAGTACAGCTTGAAACCATTCAAATCCTAACCGATGTTCTGCTTTGTCAGATGATGTCCTTTCCATTCATATTTTCCCACAATAACCATAGCCAATTTGTAAAATTTTACTACTTAATCAATCTATGTAGAATCGTTTTTTGAGTGGTGAAGCATTACTTGCATTATCTCCCAATCTGTAAGTAGTTATCTTTCTCTGACCTATAATTTTGATTGAGGTCCATTGGCAGGCATCTTTTGAGATTGACATTCGTTTATGCAGGTTACCTCAAAAGTAAGTGGAAGGGAGGAGAACTAGGGGGGGGGGGAGCAGGGGGTCGTAAGGATGGGTACCCTCAGGGGGGAGGGGTCGTAAATGAGGGTCCCGGATCGCATCAGCACGCTTGACCCTGTTTCTAACGTAGTTCTACAGCAATGAAGGGGAATTGGTTACGCGCCCATCCTGCAAATCTAAAATGGATATAACGTAATTTAAGAACATCTCTACAAGCTGCTATTGAGAAGCCTGAAAACTTTTCCGCTCTCAATTTCAGATAACGACTTTTTAAGAGACACTGTCTTACCAATCGTTCTAACGCACCCAGCATAAGAAACGTTGCCCTTTTTTTGCTAAAAACATTTTGCTTACAAATCAAAGACAACAAAATGCACAATTGGGTCTTGTCACGAAATGATGTCACACGTCGAGCGTTTGCGAAGTGAACGTGCGTCATATTTGGCCTCCTCAGCAATTATTGAGACTCGCACCAGCCGGCGCCTTGCTAAACAAATAAGTTTTTCAGGAGACATCTGCAACAATATACCTCTCATTATTCGTCAAAAAAGTCACTGCACTCCAGCGGGCTGCGCCACAGTGCGCTTCAGTGCGTCGGAGTGCGATAGAGTGTGTCGGAGAGCAGCGGAGTGCGACGCATACCGCTAGAGTGCGCCGCTGTCGCATCGTTATATCTCGCTTCAGAATGAACTATTCTCCAAGGATACTGTTCGATTTAGCTCGGCGAGGCGCATCATCTAGTCTGTGGAAATGTCATAACCTATCGAAGTACGGTAGGTATACGGTCGACAGTAGGTTTTCGCTCAATTTTGCAGGTTTTTATTTGATTGGATATGCAGTTTGCTGATAACAATATTGCCATTGATTTGCTGCTGATGGCACATTGTAGGGATATCGTAGGAGTAAGATATGGTAAATCACTTTGATCGAATTTGTTTTAAAATCAGCTCAAGGTTCTATACCGCTCACAGAATGTGCAAAATTTCCGCGGACGTCGCGGAAGTGTGGGAATTCCGCGGAATCACGGGAATCACGCAAACTAGCAACGCTATGACTTCCTTCGAAAAGAGTGTATTCTGAATCCGGAAGCAGCGTTGTACTGTTCCTGTATATGATGCGCTGAAAATTGGCCGTCGACTTCTTTACAAAGGAAAGAGAAGAGCTGGTAAATTCTGTAAAAATCGCGTCGTATCTAACTTATTTAACAAACAAACTCAATTTTACTCGTCATAACCCTGAAATACGAAGCTGATGGTGCAGATATAAGTTTTGTAATCAGCAGGTTAAATAACGTTCATGAGCAAGTTTTCCGAGATGTCGTTATTTCATTTTCTCGTTTTACTCTCTGGAAGCTCGTCAATAAATTTTTGTCAAAATGTTGATGCTCTTAAATTGTAAGGAAACTTCGCTTGTAGAAGTTTCCGAACACACCTTTACGAAAATCGTGGTCTTTGAGGATCAGGATCTTTTTGGTGAGGTGACTGTGACTGAATCACGAAAGTGCGTAACTTTGCCCGCACTTCTCGCGTATCTGTCAAAAAATTTGCCCGCTTGCTTTCTAAGTCAAAGTTAATTTATTTTTGCATTGGACGATAGGTGTTTCTTTTAACCATGAAGTTGCACGTATGGTGCATTGTCTCTTTTGGAGCTGTTGGAATCTTATATATAAAGATGAATGTCTGATTGCCTGTCTGTATGTCTGTCTGTCTGTCTGTACGTATGTTCCGAATAGAAAATTCCATTTCTGAACCGATCCGGACCAAACTTGGCACACATACACTTCGGGCCCCGGCGGGTGTCATAGGCTACTTTTTGTCATCAATCGATATCGATTTTATCGATTTTTTGTAAACTTTGACTTGCGGGGCTGGGTGTTTGCACAGGGGGTAATCGAGCATGCTGATTACGAATACAATATTAGGTTTTGGAATCATCCTAGTTTTGTCGATTTTATCGATTTTTATGCAAAGTTTGAGCTAGGGGGCTGGGAGTTGGCGCAGACGGGTAGGACTAGCTGGCTAGATTAGCTGGCTTACCCGGCTCCGCCGTATGTTCCGAATAGAAAATTCCATTTCTTAACCGATCCGGACCAAACTTGGCACACATACACTTTGGGCCCCGGCGGGTGTCACAGTCCACTTTTCGTTATCGATCGATATCGATTTTATCGATTCTTTGCAAAATTTGAGCTACGGGGCTGGGAGTCGGCACAGGGGGGTAATCGAGCATGCTGATCACCCTCGTGGGAGTGATCAGCATGCTCGATTATACCCCTCTGCCAAATTCCAGCCCCCTAGCTCAAACTTTGCATAAAAATCGATAAAATCGATAAAACTAGGATGATTACAAAACCTAATATTGTATTCGTAATCAGCATGCTCGATTACCCCCCTGTGCAAACATCCAGCCCCGCAGGTCAAACTTTACAAAAAATCGATAAAATCGATATCGATTGATGACAAAAACTAGCCTATGACACCCGCCGGGCCCGAAGTGTATGTGCGCCAAGTTTGGTCCGGATCGGTTCAGAAATGGAATTTTCTATTCGGAACATACGTACAGACAGACAGACAGACATACAGACAGGCAATGAGACATTCAGCTTTATATATAAGATTCCAACAGCCCCAAAAGAGAAAATGCACTATACGACTTCATGGTTAAAAAAAACACCTATCGTCCAATGCGAAAATAAATTTTACATCGCAACAGCTCCAAAGGAGTAAGCTGCCAGCAAGCGAGCCTTAGGCTGGCACGGGGTTTGACGCGCGCGCCTTCACCCCCGCAGCTGGTTAAGTATTCTTTGGCTAAGTTCTTACTTGATTCCCATGTTCTGAAACTGTTCCCACACAGTTCCCGCACTGTGCTGGAACTGTTCCGGCTGCATGCGCTGCAACCGCCTCGCACGCGTTTTGAACGGCTAGAGGTAGAGAATTTTGACCGCTCTCAACGGTATCTCTTTCAAATTCGTCTCATCTTGGTCTTATTCCTCTACCCCGCTTCTCCTGGTGGTGAAAAAAGCTGTGAACTTAAAGCGCGGTTGAGGAACGAACTCTGTTCTTTTCTACTTATCCAGAACAATCACACGCAAGAGAACGTTATTCTCTTTTCAACTCCGCTTCAATGCAGCTTTTCTCATAAATAGGAGAAGCGGAGTAGAAGAGAGAGTGACGAAACGATATGGAAAAAGGAAAGGGGCTGAGAACGCCCAAAACGAAACTCAGTAAAGACAGAAGACAAGTCACACTTCATTTCATTTCAGAATTGCGCTCGTAATCCCTAATTCGTGGCAGATGGCTACGGAAACTACGCAGCGGCTTCCTGGAAAAAATGAAGTAGTTTTGAGCAAAAATACCGATGAGAGAATGGACGAGCACAAGAACACACGTTTTGTCGCATACCCAGAGCAGAAAAGCGCTCATTCTTTAACCGCACTTCGAGTTCGAAGTCCTGCTGATTAAAAAGGGAAGAGGGATCGAGAAATAAGTCCAAAATGAGACGAATCTGGAAGAAAACCTTGAGAACGGTCAACGTTCTCCAACTTCCGCCGTTCAAAACGGTGCGCGCGGCTGCAGCGCATGCAGCATAGTTCCGAAACAGTTCCAACACAGTGCGAGAACAGTTCCAGAACATGAGAATCAGTTTGAACTCAACCTTAGAGATGGCGTTACGTCGCACACAATCGAGACGTAAAGTTACACCGCAACTCTGCGTCCTAATTTCGGCAGGCGTCCAAATTTAGGATCGAGGACTTCTGGAATAAACCGTTTTCGACATTTTCGTAGCCTGCAAGCTGCTTTTTGGGAATCAGCGGGAAGGACAGTTTAGGTGAGCGGAAAAAATTTGCTCGATTTCTGCCCGGACGCTGCCTCTAAGATTAACAGGAATAGCGTTCTTAATATTCCTCTTCTAAAAGCTGAGATGTTGACAAAACATTACCTTGACTTATCAAAAGCCAGATTCCCTCAACTCTTCTTATCAAATCTATCTAGTCAAATCTCTTTCGTATGCCTGCGTTCTCAACTGCCTTTTACGGATACAGGGCACAAGGCTTTCGTACATTCTACCACGCTGCCGAGTGATTGTAATGATAGTATGTAAACATATGAAGCGCAGCGACCAGCAGCTTTAGTTGATGCTAAACTTGCATATATGTAATCTGTAACAAATGAAGAGACATACCGTATTGTGCTTGCAGTGATTCCTGCACTTCCACGTAGCATACCACATTTTTTCTTTGTCGCCTTCTTTATACGTGCCACACTGTTTACCGACATTCCAACTTTGTGTCATCACGCTGATCGTCAGACAAAGTAGCAACATGACGACAACGACATTCCCCGTTTTTGTCATCACTGAAGTTCAGGGACAACGACTGTGCCTGTTTTTGTCATCACTAAAGTTCAACTTTATACAAAGATCCTATGATAATTCCAGCGCTATAGTAAAATCTCTATTCCCGTGGTTTTCTGTCAACACTGCGACGACATTGCGAAAAAGGGGAACGTCTGATAGCTCATATACCCTACAATCAGAATGGAAAGAATCATTTAGTCACTTTCCAGTTCCAGTGGAGTTTGCGCACGTATTCAAGTCATTTGCGCACAACAACACACACCTCAGAGTAGCAACGCTATTTTAGAATAAAATTTGAGTGGCTTCAAGCCTGCTCCTCTGCTAATTTGGCCATGACTTAAATGACTGCCTCAAAATAAAAGACAAGAAAACACTTTAAGCTGCATCCAATGCAGAATTTCTTCCTCTTCTCAAATGCTTACTCCCAGTATGTTCGGTTGGGAGGGTGCTGAGATAATTGCTGGAAACTGCAACATTTCGTTTTCACCAGGTCTAAGTTCCGTTAGTTTTTAAGATTTTTATTCGAGAATTTTGGAAAAGGTTTAGTAGTCAGCAGGTAAGGCAAACCTTCTGCCATTTTTTTTCTTTCCCAGTTATCCTATTAGAATTTTGTTCATTTATTTTCCAAAAGCTTAAATATCGGAGAAATCGCATACCAGTTGTTGTATCGAACACTGCAAAAAATTCAGAATACTGAGGTTTCTAAACTATCGTTATTGACTAACCTTACATAGTAAATGAGCGACTTTAGCTTTAAAATTGAAAATCTTGAAGCTTAGGGTACGTTGACGCGACTCGTGAAATTAAGAAATATTGCAATTTTTCCCTTACATTTCGATTTTCTTGTCAAGAAGAAATCTTACAAGGAAAGCTTGTTTAGTCGGTGACCTTTCCAAATGAGATATATACCGTATTAAAGGGCATAAAACGCTGACTCCAAATCTGCCTTCCTTATTTGCAGAGCATTTACGCATGAGAAGTTATGAGCGTTTTCTAAAGCCAAAGATTGAACGCATTTTGGATAAAATAAGTTACTAACTGTTACTAGCCCTCAAATAATGCAACCAAGTGTGATATATTATTTTTTATTTGAGAGTATTTTTTGAATGAAGTTCTCTGATGATTATCACTGCTAAATTAAAGTACTAGAAAAAGTATTACGGCTATTTTTGTGCTACCTGCACAATCAATTTTTTGCCCCAATAAGCGCTCATAACTTCTCCTCCAAAAACGCTCTGCAGATAAGAAAGGTAGATTTGGAATCAGCAAATTATGCCCGTTAATATGGTATACATACCATCTAAAACGGCCACTTACTTAACAAGCATTTCTTGTTAGAGTGAAGAAAAAAGCTGCATCAAATTGATTTACAGGGAGGTGTTCAATCAAAGTTGTCTCTCTAGTTGGAATATACAGCATATTGAAGGGCATGAAATGCCGATTCCAGAACTGTCTCTCTTATCTGCAGAACGTTTATGGACGATTAGCTGTGAGTGCTTATTAGGGCAAAAATTTGATTGTGCAAGTAGAATAGAACAAAGCACATTCGATTTGGGCTTTAAGAAACGCTCATACGTCCATAAATGTTCTGCAGATACGAAAGGCAGATTTGGAATCAGATTTTATGCCCTTCAATATTTTATACATCCCATTCAAAAAAGCCGCTTCGATTAAACAAGCTCCCCTCTTTACCGTTATTTCCTAGCAGGTTGAAATGGTGGTGAAATTTGATTACTTTAAAAAATTTATATTTTGAGGATACTAAATGAGAAGCCCTGGAGCTACAAAATTGCCTTAGTTTTGAGAAGGTTTGATCTGTCTGCGGACTATCAAGGCTCCGTCAAAAGTTTCAACAAAAATTCTAAAATCTAGCCAAAGTCAGACATAGTGAAAGCAAAAGGTTGTGATATCCAGTAATCATCTCCACACTCTCTCGATCAAATTGCGGACATGGCATTGGAAAGAGGAAGAAATTCTGCATCTGATGCAGCTCAAAGTATTTGTTCATTTCCAGTTTACTGTAGAGGGTCGTTTCAAAAAAGAACTAACTTTTTCGACGACCTAATAATTTTTTTTATCACGTTGATGCGATTGAATAACATACGCGCCTATCTCTGATTATATGCTCTTACAGCTAATTTTATACAAGAATTATGTTTTTTATGTAAGTTTGCTCAAAACCAAAAATTTTATTTCTTTCGGTCTTGCTCACTTTTGCACATACATCTCTACATCTCAAGACAGAGTGTGTTGTGTGAACTTTTTTCAGTGGCAGATATCAATTGAAGGATTTTCCTTTGAGCTGATAATTGAGATAAGGTGGAGGGTAAGTGAACAAGTGTGACAACACTTATCAACAGCCCAGAATTCATTCAAAGGTTTGTGTAATGGATAGCAGGAGCGACCATTCTAACTTGCGCCAAAAGAATGATGTAATTCCTGAGAAGCTAAGATGCGATGATACAAGGCGAATACTGGTGTAAGAAACCGTCGCGCAGCACGACGGTAGGACGGAGGAGGAAAGACGAGGGGCTGGAACATGTTCAGGGAGAGGAGGAAGCAAAGGTGAACGGGCGGATAGTTGTTGGAAAGAGGACATAGTCTTTTTCCATTTTCCAAAATTCGCATACGTTTTCGTACAAGCCCAGTTGAAGTTGAAGTCACCGGAGAAGCCAGCTAGAATATGAATAAAAGTAACCTATTTTATCAATTATAGCGTCTTTAAACGTTGGCTGACCAGACGAGTTTCAGAGAGTAAATGAGCCGATTAGGAAGTGACACGTAAGTAATTTTTCTTGACAATGTGACTTTGAAGTGATTTTAATTTGTCTATTTATGTATTTCGCATAACTCAAACATATAACGACGAAAGCACTTAAAAACATGAACAGTTAACAGAGAAAACAAAACATCAATTGAGTCAGCTCAAGTCCAACTCCAGAAAAGTCAGAATAAAATGGATTAAAGGTAATGTTTCGGCACTGAAAACATTGAGATTTTGATGTGGTCGATTGCTTATCTTCCAACATGAAAGCAGACCACGTCCGGTTGCTCAGCATCTCACCCTGTCGAGAACATTGCCCTTAAACCCCGTGCGCGCAAGCCAATCTCACGCCTGCCCAGACAAGCTCGCGACTTCCCTTCCGTCATCAAAAGCGGCTTGCCGCAATATTATAATCGCAGAGGATCCGCAACAAATCTGCGTCTCTTGTTATGGCGGGAAGTGTTTCACTCATCCGAATTCAAAATGGACGTTTTCGAGAAACGCTGTTTTTTTAACCATCTTAATGCTCTACAAAGTGAATTAGCACATCGGATAGCCTTAGGTAAGCAAAAACCTCCGACTTCGAAGATTTACCATTACCTTCAAGTTTGCTAAGAACATGTATAAATTCCCCCACAATGGTTGGCGGCCTCAACGTGGGTGACGGTGACAATGGGTGACGAACTGCGATGCACAGCCAAGCGTATACTCTGGTAGGGCGTTCCAAGCTGTGAAGGAAGAGCACGACTTTTCGGTTTCGGTCGGATGCCTAGATAAGAGCCGGCAGTCTAGATCCATCGTCTGGTTTTCCGATCGCTAAACGCTTCTTCTCCCCGGTCCATACCCGGGTCAGCAATCGCCCCGTGGAAATCAAGAGTTGGCCTAGAAAGTCTGCTCTTGTAAGGAAACAAGTTTTATTAATTCATCATCAAGAAGATATAAAAAAAACCCCTGTACATTGGATGCCACCTACGGCGCCGACTGTAGCAAGAACGATGTCAGGGTCCTTAGGGCTCCTTTTGGATAGGACAAAAACAACACGTTTGCCCAGACGGCGCTCTAGGAGACTGCCGCATGCTCTGCATTTACAACGACAAGACAGTCTCTACAAATGCCGACCTCCACGCTCTTTTCTGTAAGGAAAGCGCTGATTACGGTAATGCGCTATCGGTTCCTGCACTCTTGCTTTACGAATTTCCAGGGGAAAAAAGTAGTAGCTTTTGTAGCTGAAACCAATGTCAGCGAGGAATGTTCCGTGGTACAACGTTCCCGTCTGGTTTCAGGGAATAAATAGTTTGCCTAGAGTCCGCTCATAGAAGTACCTAGGGAAAGGTGTGCCTATTGATTTCTGGACACTTACGAGTTTTCAACATAAAAAAATGTAAAAGAATAGCTGGTATAGTCGTCCTCACCCCACTAGTCGGTTCGGTGGACGAATTCGAATTTGAGCTGGAGCAGGCCGGTTGCGGCTGAGCGCGGCACCTCAGTCCTCAGTTCAAACCTTCGCCTATTTCTTTCAGTCTATAATATTTATTTTTTGCCTTTTAATTCGTGTATTTTGACAACGTTCTTGAACAAAATTGACATTTTGTTATTGTTAAGCGTCGTTTCTGGCTGCTGTGCTCGGTTTTTGTTTGAGTGGGCTTTGAGAAACGATAAAGATGGCGATTCTGACGTACAATTCACGACTATAGCAGCACTTCTGCACATATTACTTACAAAGAAAAGACTTACAGCAGATGTTTCACAACTGTATCGTTTCTCCATGCTTACCTGTATATAGTGTTGAAGTTATGAGCTTAGCAGAACGAAACAACGCTCGACAACAATAAGATGTTTTATTTTGCTAGCGAACACACCTCACGTTACAAAGATTAACGATCAAATGAGGATAACGATAAAAAAACATGCATAAATTTGAAATGAATGCTGAAATGCCGCGCTTCGCCGCGACCGGCCTGCTCCACTTCAAATTCGAATTCGCCCACCGACAGACTAGTGGGATGAGAACGACTATACCAGGAAATACGGACCATCGAAACCGCCTCGTCCTCCGCTTCTAGAAAATATATAGCATATCTGAAATTCTTCCAAAAAGGCCTGGGTGAAAGGTGTGCCTAATGATTTTTGGAGATTTACGAGTTTTTAGGATAAGAATCTTTAGCTTTTGTATTAGGGTGATCACTAAAAAATGGGACAGCTTGATTTTTGTCAAATTTTGAGTTTTTTATTACGATCAACAACAAGCAGGCTGCAACGTAAATGTCGCTTATATAAGCGACCTTCGCCTATTATTCTGGCAAAGCGTCAACGCTCCTCTCGCACAACCCTGCGCGTGGCGTCGTGAAGAACTCGAACAGGGTTTTTTGAACCTCGCTCATTCTTGCGCTGCCATCTCGCAAAGTTATAGAGCAATTGATATATCGTTCGAAAGAGCTGTTCATGCTCTTTCAAACAGTATATGCAATATACAGAATTTCTTTCTATTTCTGGGTAAAAAAAAGCGAAATACCTGGAAAACCGCGATTTTTTGGCGCAACAAAAAACAGTAAATCAAGTTTCAATCTGTATTTTCCGAAGATAGATAAAATGTGAGGTAAACTGCATATGGATGGATAGAGCGTAAAAAGCTCTTTCAGATGGTACCTATAGAACATGCGTTCACCTGCAAAGCATTGAATAGCACGTATCTTTGTTCTCAAAGCTGCTAATGGCCATATCTCTTGAATTTGAAAGCTTACACCAGCAATCCATCGTGGGTCTGGTGACTGTACCTTCACGCATTGCAGCAGTAGTAATTTGGATGGTTTCGCATGTTTCACTGCGCAGATACTGCTCGAAGTTTATAATTTGTCAAATTGACTATTGCATTTCAGCCACTATAAAAATTATTAGTAATGTAAATGACCTTATATAGGTATTTTCTGAAAGAGAATAATCTGTTCTAACATCTATCAAATTTGGGAAGTTTAATCGTTTTTCTTTTTTGAGAAATCTATATTTATTCTCTAGGTGTCCCATTTTTTAGTGATCACCCTAATAGATGAACGTCTTCTACGCGTGATGGTCACCATTGGAACCGTCTCGTCCTCCGCTTTCAGAAGATATATACTTTGGCAAGGCCCGTTGAGAAAGTACTTAGTGAAAGGTGGGTGTACTCTTGTAATGGGAGTTCTCCGGTGGAAGCTTTTTATCATTGTAAAAAGATGTCTACTTGAGAACTCCCATTATAAGAGTCTCACACACCCTTCACCAAGCACTATTTCTTTGGACCCCAGGCAAAGTATCGTTTTGTTTTCTTGTCACTTTTGTTTTATTTGATTACATTTTAGTCGATAGAACACATTTCTACACTTCGTTAGGTTAGAAAATGTCTCACTGGAGAGTTACCGGTAAGAATGCCGTCGCTAATAGGGCTTATCGTTAGTTCGCAATCTCACATATTAGGTTACAAATGACTCGAGGCTTTGGTTTTGCTTAATGATTGGAAAAGTTGACAAATTCTAATTTTTATATAGGCACTTTCGCATTTGCCTGATATTTGAGAACATTTGAGTTTGTTAGCGGATTTCTTGATAAATTATACTTTCTTCCACGTTCATAACGTCTATATGGGTTTAGAAGGAAACACTTATTTCAGACTTCATTTACTTCAAAATAGGCTAAGAAACACATTCTGAAAAAATCGCAAAATCAAAATATGCAAGAAGGTCAGAAATGATTAGTCCCAGCTCACCCTGCTGCTAGGAGTAAAATGGACTTTCAAGCCCATTTGAAATGGAGGCGAATCCCACCTTGCCCCATCTAAATAGACTTTTCGCGTGATTCTTCCGCAAGCTAGAGCTCATTTAATTTGAATTCTTTTCATTACACCTCTTTGCCTCGCGGTTGAATTCTGGATATTGCGAGCGAAAACAATTCCAACCAGTTTCCACCGCGAACGAATAAAATGGATATTGAAAGTTCACTTTCCTCCATTATGGACTTTCGTGGATAGAAATTCAGAGAGTGGTTGAAACTGCCATAGCAAAGCCGCTAACTCACCGGCTGACAGCTTTGCTTCCTCACAAGTGAAGTGAACTATCCATTCCTTTTGTATTATCTGTTAATTGATCACACAACATGAATCCGATAGGAAGTTGGCTTTTGTCCATCCCTCCACAACAAGGTGTGATCAACTCCCAGTTTTACGTAGCGACTGGGTAGTTCGAAGTGAATGCTTTCTGACCATTACGGTTATTCCAAAAACAATTACCTAATCAAAAGTTTAAAAAGTCTATCAGCATGTCAAATGTCCACAATACTTCGCCTCTATTTGATACTGGGAGTTCGACGGTTCGTCTGTGATGAACGATATAAAAGATCTATAAAGGAAGAATGTCGTTCTACCCTTGGAGTCAAATTCATCACTTTTGGCCGTTGCCAGACGTTTTCGTTGTTTATGCTAACCGCGCATTAGTAACGATGACATGGACCCATTTAGCGTTGACGCTGCTCAATACGGCAATTTACACTGCAAGGGCTGTTTGTAACAGCAAGAAACCAAACAACAACTCGCAATCAAACCTTTCAACGTATCTTATTGATATCGATAAAGTTTTCAACTTTCGCAAATAGTGGTGCCGCAGCCCTCGAATTTTTAGATCTTCGAGGGAATTTCTGGAAAAAACACGGATCTATTACAAGCCAAAAAGCACCTTAAGCACTTGATCTAGGTTTGTTTATCTAATCGGAAGTCACATTCAATATCGAAGTTTCAAATCAGATAAGCGTATCTACAATTTACCTTTCTAGGAACAGAAACAGCTTCTAGCATGCTTAGACAAAACTTTTCTTTCAAGTTTGTTCGAAAGATTAGGTAGCGTATAAATATAATAAATTAAGTTTATCGCTGTATTGAAAGGTTTAGCACCTCGGATTTTATACAATCATTTCTTCATGAACGTTTTCAATGTTTCAGGAACAGATTCAGTTGAAACATCGAAATTGGAGGGTTTTGAGGATTGACGGTCACAAAGTTGTTCATTGAAAGGAAGCCAAAATTTCAAGAAACAATTGCTCACTTAAGTTTTGCGCATTGGCACGTGCATACGCGCGTATGCACGAAATCATTTTGTGGGAGTCATTCTGACACTTACTCATAAAACACGCTAAGGTTTTACACAACCTTCTGTATGTCACTGAAATTTAGCAGGAAATACACATATGAAGTTCTTTTCCACTGTCTTCCGTTGATTCCCCTTTAATACGCCATGCGATTGGTATTTTTGGGGAATCTTCCTTCGTGAGTAGCGTTATAACAGAAGGTGTTCTTTGCCTGAATTCTTGAAAGGATATACAGAGTTTTCGCTCTATCAGATAAAACACATTTACTACATGCAAATGGACTCAATACCTAAATTTGCGGTCTAGACTTCTGAACAGCTAGAGCGATGCCTATGTTTTCTATAAGACAATCAGACCAACTGTATTATTACCGTATATTAATTACCACAGGAACTTCTTTTTATCAGGAAAGCTAGATTTCATGAGTACAATGCGCACTCTCGCTAAAGGCGAGCAGCTCGGCTGCATTGGGCCTCGTGCATCGGTCAGTCTATCGCACGATTCCCTCGATTGAAACGCAGCACGGTATAGTGTTTTCTAGTCGCCAAATTTTAGCTTTTTCGTGAGGATCGAACGAAGAGAAAAAATAGTGAGTTTTGTGCATTGAAGTTGTGATATGAGTTTTTGGAGATATAAAGTTAGAGATTGCAATAAAACTTATTTGCTCAAAATGGCTTAATCGTCAGAATGTCAAGAACTTGATCTTAGGTTGAAGTAAACAAATGTTGCAAGAGTCACTTCAAGCGCCTGTCGTTTGCTTTTTGTTAAGATTTGTGAACACAGTGCTTAATCATCTCAGCAAGGCTGGATAACATCTCAAAGTTCATAGAATGAGGGAAAGAGATGTAGCTATTATAAGACAAAATTAAAAATACCACACAAGAGAGCCTCGAAACTTACTGGGTATTCTCACTTCTAGACCCGATCAGGATTTGATAAAAAGGTAAAGGTTTTGGCACCATCAATACCTATTTCATATGGAAGAGGCTAGTGAATGCGTGCGGACCTCTTACAAAAATCAGTTACATTTAAATTGGTAGAAACTTTAGAACTGGTAGAAACTTTTGCTTTTCTGAAGAAATTTTCATTTTTCGTCGTTGCGCTCGATTTTCTGAGACGCCGCCATGTACGACGTTGTCTCCGATTACCAAATAAAAAAAGAGAAAAGACGGAGAAAATTTCAAAGCCAAAGCAAAATCTTCTTACCACTCCATCGCAAAATCGTTGCTATCGATGCACGTTATGTCAATGTGTACTTACTGTCACTGCCTAAATTTCTGAAATCTATATTGAAAAAATGAAGATTTATTAGCTGTTTAAAACCACAAATCAATTTGACAATGTCTGGTTAAACGTGGATTGATGAAGTGATAAAATGCTGAATGATTGCTTTTATTTGCTTTATCCAAGAAGGAATCCGAGAAGAAGTGGAACGTTACTTATTAGAACTTCAAATCAATTGCAAGTTTTGTTCATAGAGGAGGCTTTTGCTTGCAACCCTGTACTTCTTGCACTCTAAAGGATAAAACAATCAGGTTAATCATGCTACACTTTCATCAGAAAGCGTAAAAACGGGCAAAACGGTCAAACTCTCGATCGCAGATCGACGCTTACTTTTAGCCTCGATCTCTTTCTGCGAAGTCCTGTAGCACGAAACAAATGAAGCATTGTTTGCTTGGAGAGAAGCTAGTGTAACGACAAACAGCCGCACTGTGACTGCGTTTTCAATTTTCATTTTTCTTTTTCAGGAAATTTCAGATAAATTTCAGGAAGTTTTGAACTAAATTCGAAAAAGTTTCAGTTTTGAGAATAGAAATTCGGTGGTCTAACTGCGGTAAAGAACACCGGAACAGTTTTCTGTTACTTTTGCGGAACTTCTTGTTTGGCCAGCGAAATTGTCGTTTTGTTGCCACTACCAAAGGGAGTCACTTAAGAGTTTGGTCAGGGCAAGAAATGATTTTCTAGATTTGTTCTGAATAGTATCTCTAGAACGTATCCACAAATCCATATCCACGTGCAAATTTGTAAGAAACACTTCAAATTCGAAGTAACCGAGATTTGATATGTTGATCCTTTACGCTAAGTATGGAATATGGAAACAATACCGCCGACAAATCCTTACCGCGGAAAAACGAGCCACATCAAGAAATGTAAAGATATGGTATACATGGATATACACTACTAGAAGTGATACGCAGACCAATGTTATTTATTGTAACTAAACATGGCTAATTGTGAAAATATTTATTTGCCAGACATCAAGCTTAGAATTTCTTTGGCATTCGTCAACAAGCCAAGCACCGGCATCTGTAAGCACCATCATGCAATATGCAGTTACCCGCTCCGCACCTCTGAAATGACAACGACACCATCACAACCCTTTGCGCCCCTACATGTCGAGATGAAGACCCGCAACCGTGAACTGATTTCTTTTTGTAAACATGATGTCTCTACTCTATTTCGAGCTGTTTTTGTAAATGGTTTCTGAGATTCGAAATTCAATAGCGAGAAAATTTTTTCATCAAAGAAAGCGACAAGCACCTACTAAATAGGCGTCTCTGTTTCGTATTACTAGCAAAAATTTCTCATTTGGAAATACAGAAAAAATGTTCGCACTTTCGGGCTAAAAGAAAGCGTCTTAACGAATCTCGACACATCGTAAGAGATATTAAGAAAAGATACTAGTAAGCCTTTGTCAGCTTTATTGAACTGAGTTGACCCCTTTCGAAGAATATCATGAGTCAAACTTATTATTGCGCATCCCCATATGTCTTGAGAAAGCCAATGTAGACGTCAAAAACCGTCCGTTCTAGCGCTGCGATCAAATTAACGCGATGCCGTTGAAGTTGTCTTCAAGTTTGCGAGCTTATGAATGGTGTGGTTGTTCAGTGTTGAGCAGACCGAGGGGGGGGGGGGAGAGGCCCCCCCCCCTTCCCCAGAATGGATCGCGAAGTTTTTGAAAGTTATTTATAAGATGTGTTATAAGATTGTGCAAACGATGCGACTTTTTTCTTACTTGCAAATATAATAATTATTCTTAGGTTGAACCGAAAGTTCGTTCGCATCATTTTACTTTTCCCTTATGATAATTTTGAATGACAAAAATAATATTAGAAAAAGCAAAGCGCATATTTTTAAGGGCACCTTGGTTGCTATTTCTAAGCTTCGATTGCAGAGATATTGTGGGGAAAGGTGATCACTTCAGTTTCGGAACTTTGAGGCAAGCCCATTATAAATTCCAAAACTGTGCCAAAAATTCAAAATAGCCGCCTATTTGGAGAAAAGCTGTACAAAAATATCGGAAAGTGGAAAATCAGTTTTGCATCGATATATTCTTTGCAAGGAAGAAACATAACGGGTGGAAATCGCATAGGTATCGTTTTATAGCTTTTCGTAGCCACTCAATGCTTGGCCAATTTGTACATCCAAATGCTCATAACTTCTTTCGGGAAATTTTTTCCGCAATAAAGGAAAACAGATTTGGAATCAGCGTTCAAGGGCGCGTTTAACGATATACGTTTTATCTTCAATTGCCGACTAATGTTGTTGTCCTTTCATTATTAGATTTTCTGACTCCCCCTTTCTAAATGAGCAAAATTCGCGCTGATCGAGCTATTCTTTGGAAACTCTTTCCAAAAAAACAATTTTTTAGAAAACTGTTTTTCGGCATTTTTTTTTCGAAAATCATAGCTTTCTCAAGAAAAGATTATTTGACTTCTTCTATCGCTTAGCAAAATTCTCGCGAATTTTGCTAAGCGATAGAAGAAGTCAAATAATCTAGGATACAGCCTGTTTTGGATATTATGTCACATTTTTGAAATTTTTAACGAGCTTACCTCAAAATGCCGGAATTAAAGCGATTTCATTTTCGAATTTTATCTCTGCAATCAAAGCTTAGTAAAGAGCAAGCAAAATGCCCTTAGAAAGTATACGCTTTGCTATTCCTATCATTTTCGTTGTGCAAGATTGGCGAGTAAAAATATTTTATTTTGAAAATGGTGCGAGCAACTTTCGGTTCAACCTAATATAATGATAGAAAGGTCGCAGCGGCATTCGCCCGCTCCCCTTTAGGTGCGAGATGCCGTCCACCGGTACCTTTTTTGCCTTTGAGTGATTTTTCAAATTGCAATTAATATGACATACCTCGTCGTTTTTGCAATGCTGTACGCATTTTCTCGTAGCCATCCACTTATTTTTTAGATAGTCTTCATACAAGTTTCTTGCACTGCTCACCACAAAACAAAGTAAGAAAATGATAACAAAAGTTGAATTCATCTTTGCTTTACCTGAAATTATTGGGTTTCAATGAGGTATATGGCATAATCACGCTTTCAATAAGTTTATTAACAAGTTCAACAAAATGCAGCGAAGATGCGAAGAGAAAGGTTTTGAAAGTCGCTTATATGAGTTAGAAAAGTATGCAAGTTGTTTGTCTTTGACTGTAAATAAGCATTTTTCCCAAAAGGAGATGAGAAAACGCACCGTTTAAGTAGCGTTTCAGAAATTTTGTCGTAAAGGTGGCCAAAGCCAATCCTCTTCAGTCAAACTTTCTTTCTGTTGCTTTTCCCCTCAAGAAATTCCTCGGACGGCCAGTGATGTTATGCATGCGAAAGACAATCTAACAGGGGACTTCCTTCGTTTGATTAAACGTGTGGAAATGGTACTTCCAGGATTCATAAAATATAAAACTCTTAATTCACCTTTTTAAAG